TGACATGAGCACCGCCTCCTCTTCTTCCCTTCTGCGTCGGACTTTCTGTGTCCCGAATGGGAACCCGAGACGGGAAGACGCGTGCCTCGCTTAGGTTGGATTTGTTTTGTTTATTTTAAAATATATGTTATTGATTTTCACAGAGAGGAAGGGAGAGGGATAGAGAGAAACATCGATGAGAGAGAAACATCGATCAGCTGCCTCCTGCACACTCCCCACTGGGGATGTGCCTGCAACCCAGGTACATGCCCTTGACCGGAATCGAACCCGGGACCCTTCAGTCCGCAGGCCCGACGCTCTATCCACTGAACCACACCGGCCAGGGCAGGTTTGGGATTTCCTGACCCTGCAGCCGGGAAGGCGGCCAGAGTCGCCTCATGTACTTGTCAGCTGCGTGCGGCCTCGCGGAAGGGCAGATGCCACAATCTCCTTCTTGGTCCGTATTTATCTGCGGGTTTGTTGCCGGTTGTTAGGTTCTAACTGTAGCGCCAGGATCGAATGCGGGGAGCAGATATCGCGTGCGGGGGCGGGGGGAGGGGGGGGGCGGGCAGAGTCAGGCGCACCATGTGAGAGTGCGAGCCCGGTTATTCTTGTGTTTTATTGTTAATCACTGCACTTTCCATAGGAGCCGCTGTCAGCCTGTGTTTGACCCCCCCTCCTCCCCATTGGACGGTGGCCTGCATTGGTGTCTGGGACTCTCATGCTCTGACGTTGATTTTACAAACTGATTTCCTAGGGAACAGCACCTACGTTGCAGAGTCCAGTGGTTCTCAACCTTCTGGCCCTTTAAATACAGTTCATGTTGTGGTGACCCCCAACCACAAAATCATTTTCGTTGCTGCTTCATAACTGTCATGTTGCTACTGTTATGAATCGTCATGTAAATATCTGATATGCAGGATGGTCTGAGGCGACCCCTGTGAAAGGGTCATTGGACCACTAAAGGGGGCAGACCCACAGGTTGAGAACCACTGCTGCAGACTCGGTTCCCTGAGTTGGGGAAGGGGCGGCTCGGGGAGCCCCAGAACCTGTGTCGCCGTCTGCGGGCCTGTGTGCAGACTGAGCAGTTGGGTCTGTGCTTTCTGCTCTGGGCAGAACTCCTGTGACCAACAGCCCCACCGAGGCCGGAGGAGCTGTGGGCGGGACCTGGAGGGTCAGATGCCCCCGGGCTGGGAGCTCAGCTGGCGATGGAGCATCCTCCCGACAAAGCTGTGCTTCCATCCGGGTCCGGGACGGACAAGAATCACCGATGAATGCATAAGTGGACCAACACATGGATGCTTTCCTCTCCGTTTAAAAATCAATCAATAAAAATATACGGTCACATGATGCTGGTATTGATCTGTTTCTTTAATCCATAAATGTAGGTTTGCACAGGTTCCCTTACTTGAGTCTTCTGGTTAACATACTGTTTTACATCAATTTTAATATTATTTTAGCAGCAGCTAGTAAACATGCAGACAGGTGAGGTTAAATTTACCTCTCATTTTTACACTTTTTTTCCACCTGGTAGTTTTGATTTATTTTTTTCTTTTTCAGCACTAGGTCTAACTAGCTAACATGTAAGGGTCAAAACTTAGAGGAGTAATGCAGACTTGATGTGGTTTATATTGTCTAATAGCTCATGGCTCTCTATTCCGTAGATGAGCCATGAGCCATTATCTCTCTGCATTATCTTGTACTTTGCCGCTGGGGGACCTTAATGTATGTACTTGTTGACGGAATTAAGGAGTGCGGTTTCTTAAGTGTATCTTGGCCCTTCACCTTCCCTTGCCTTTGGTACTTGATGTCCCTGAAGCGTTCCTTTCACCCCTCAGGCGCCTGGTGGACTCCTCCTCGGGCTGACTTTCCTGCCCTCGTTTGACCTTTCCTTCTCAGACCGTGGTAGTTGCTAACTCGCCACTGTCTGCCCTGTGATACTTCAAGTCTCCTGGGTAAGATGGTCAATTTTTATTCACTTTGTATTTTAAGTACATAGCTATGTCTCTCTGTAACCCAGGGAAGTAAGAACTAGAAGGTTCGTGTAGGGGGCAACAGTTTCCAAATGCAGAGGGCGGTCAAGGGGTGTGATCAGAGCAGGGAGCCCGAGAATGGCTCCTCTGTTTACAACACATCCAACAGGAACGTGGGGTACCCCTCACGGGGGCAGGACCCTCTGGCCTTCCTGTCACATGACACCCTGTAGATGGAAGGAATAAGAGAAAAGGTGCTGCACACAGATTGCAGGGATGAGTGAGAAGGAAGTAAAAGACCTCCAAGGTCCTGTCTCTCATTATTTCCCTCAAAGCCAGGCTCCTGTTAAAGGGCAGTGGCTTTTTTAAACCAATGTTTCCTGTCTTTGACGTGTTTAGAAAGATTTATCTCTTCCTAAGCATAAAATATGTTTCTGAACATCGTTTCTTCCTAAATTTGCCTTCATCAGAGAGGGGCTTGTTAAGCAGTAAATGTTAGTACTTTATTATTACCTCCTATGTTGAGGGCACACCTACCTGGAAAATCTGTTGATGGGCCATCCCTTGAGATTTGAATAGTTAAACCTCCTTTCAAGCATTGGATCCTAATTGTAAAACGTCTGTACATCATCTTCATTGTAATAATTTTTGCCAGGAATCGGATTTGTAACCTTTCCCATCTTTTGTTCAGACGAAAAGAGTCTTGGGAAGCTTTTGATTTTTAATAGATTTTGGAACAGTTTACTGTGGTTCTTCATCATTTGTTTATAATGTGAAACAGAAGATAGAGGGAAAGATTTTCGTATTTTATTTTCACGTACTATATAGGAGAATATGAAGAAAAGGAACAACACTAATGTGTGATTTGTGAGAATCTTTCAGTTATATTTTACTTAAGTCATTTTGGTGTAAAAGAGAATTTACCAGCTATGCAAAATAACATAGAGCACAACAACCTGTATTTTCAGTCTGTTCTTTTTTAATTTTTTTATTGATTAAGTTATTACAGATGTGTCCTTATCCCCACGTTACCCCTACCCCCCCCTCATGCCCTCACCCCCCCTCACTCCCCCCCGTTGTCTATGTCCATTGGTTAGGCCTATATGCATGCATACAAGTCCTTTGGTTGATCTCTCTCCCTTACCCCCACCCTCTCCTACCTTCCCTCTGAGGTTTGACGGTCTGATCGATGCTTCTCTGTCTCTGGATCTGTTTTTGTTCATCAGTTTATGTTGTTCATTATAATCCACAAATGAGAGAGGTCATGTGATAGTCATCTTTCTCTGACTGGCTTATTTCACTTAGCATAATGCTCTCCAGTTCCAGCCATGCTGTTGCATTCAGTCTGTTCTTGACCAGACTGATGTTATCCTTCATAAAAGATGATCCTGACGCCTGCCTGGATAATGAGTGGGAGGCACGAATCCATTCGCATCACATTCAGCTCTTGCAGATGCCCTTATAGCCACATCGTTCTGAGTTTGAGAGGCTGCCTTCCTCCTCTCTGACATCCTTCACGTGCGGGAGTCTGTGTTCACACGTCGCAGTAGCAGAGCAGACACAGAAACTTAGTCTGCTTCATTTAGACACAGCTCTCGGGGACACAAGGGTTATGCATAAAGGAATGTCCATAGATGACTTTAGGGGACTTTAGGCTGTTAAGAAAGACGGAAGATACACTTATTACTATTTTTTTAAATCTTTATTGTTGAGAGTATTACAGATGTCCCCCACCCCCATAGCCCCTCTCCTCCCAGTTCAGGCCTTCACCACCCTATGTGTCCTTAGGAAAGATCTTTGGTTAATCTCTTCCTGCCCCACTCCCAAGCTCTGAGATTCATCAGTCTGTTCCATGCTTCCATGCCTCTGATTCTGTTTTATTCACCCGTTTATTTTGTTCATTAGATTTCTTGTTTATTTTGATTTTTAGATTCAATGGTTGATAAATATGTATTTGTTGCCATTTTATTGTTCATATTTTTCCTCTTCCTTTCCTTGTTCTTTTTCCTCTTAAAGAATACCCTTCAACATTTCATGTAATATTGGTTTGGTGGTGATGAACTCCTTTAGCTTATTCTTGTCTGTGAAGCTCTTCATCTGACCCTCAATTCTAAATGAGAGCTTTGCTGGGTAGAGTAATCTTGGTTGTAGGTCCTTATTTTTCATCACTTTGAATATTTCTTGCCAGTCCCTTCTGGCCTGCAAAGTTGCTGTTGAGAAATCAGCTCACAGTCATATGGGCACTTCCTTGTAGGTAACTAACTGTTTTTCTCTTACTGCCTTTTTTTTTTCTTATTGCTTTTAAGATTCTCCCTTTGTCTTTAACCCTTGGCATTTTAATTATGATGTGTCTTGGTGTGGGCCTCTTTGGGTTCATCTTGTTTGGGACTCTTCAAATGGGTTTTAATATCTTGCTCTCTTTCTTCTCCTTCTGGAACCCCCATAACACTTGGTACACTTGAAGTTGTCCCAGAGGCTCCTTACACTATTTCCATGTTTTTGGATTCTTTTTTCTTTTTGCTCTTCTGCTTGGATGTTTATTGTTTCCTCATATTCCAAAATGTTGATTTGATTCTCGGTGTCCTCTACTCTACTGTAGAATCCCTTTAAATTATTATTTATTTCAGTTAGTGTATGCGTAATTTCTGACTGGTCCTTTTTCATGTCTTTGACGTTCTAAGATCCATGAAAGTCTCATGAAGATCCTTGAGTAATACTATAACCATGGTTTTGAATCCAGTAGTTTACTTGCTTCCATTTCTTTCATTTTGACCTTTGGCTGCTTTCCTGTATTTGTTCCTATGTTTTAGGTAGAGCCGCTGTGTCTCCTGGAATTGGTAGAGTGGCCTTGTGTAGTGGGTGTCCTGTAGGGCCCAGTGGCTCAGCCTCCCCAGTCACTTGAGCTGGGCACTCTAGGTGCCCCCGTGTGTGGGCTGTGTGCATAGTCTTGTAGTTGAGCTTTGATTGCTGTTGACATCACTGGGAAGAGATGAGCTCCAGGCCAATTGGCTGTGAGGACCAGCTACTACAACAGCGGGAGAGCTGCTGTGCAGGAGATACCCATGTGGAGCAGGATTCACTTCAGTGGAGCTTTGGTGCTCACTGAGTCTGCCCCTCAGTGTGTCCCTTGTGGATGTGTAGAGTTGTAATCTGCTATGGTCTGAAGCTGTCCACCGGGTACAGTGTCTCTGGGGCCACCCAGCAGGAGCGACAGAGATCTGCAGATGGCTGCAACTTGTATTGGGCTTGGCAATGCCCTGGTGAGACCCAACTGTGAAGCAAGGCAGGCTGGTACTAGTGCTGGGTCTTGGGCCTTTTATTGATAAGTTTGGGGCATGCTGTCACCAGCTGCAGCTTGTTTGAGAGATTTTAGCAAAGTCTGAAGCCTGAGTCAGGACAGGCCATTCATATGAAAAAGCTGGTGCAAACAACTTGGGTAAGGCTGCAAATTGGGTGGGGTGGGATCTCAGAATCACCAGGGCAGAGCAAACAGTTTGAGCCAAGTTGGTGGAGACTCAGATATGGCCTCTGCCAGTCAGCTCTGTGACCTGGGAGGTCCCAGCACAGGAACAGTGACTGCTGTGAGCACCTCTGTCTGGGAGAAAGCTGCCCCTGAGTTCCTGCCTCAATGCCAGACAATCCAGTTCCTCCTCGTATGGCTGGGTCCCCCAAAGCTGCTGGGAGTCCAAGTAAATCCATGCACTGGCCCTTTAAATGGAACTGCCTGGGTCTCCAGCAGCCTCCATGTCACTCAGCCACAATCCCTGCTGGTTTTTGCAGCCTGAAATTACGGGAACTTCTCTTCCCAGCTCTGGAACCCTGGCCGAGGGGTGAGGGACTGGGACTCTTGCTCAGGTGGCCTCCACAGAGACAATCTCCCTCCTGGTTATAAAAATGGCACATGTGGGTGTCAGACCAGCCGTCCTCCCCTCTGTCCCTCCTGCCAGTCTCAGTGTGCCTCTTCTTTACTTCCCTAGCTGTATGACTTCTATTCAGCCAGCTCTCAGGCGGTTCTGAACGATGGTTCAGGGATGCGGTGGGTGCCGGCCTTTACCTACGCTGCCATCTTGTTTGTTTCATCAGCTCAGCTCTCCTCATATTTAATGTAGCTGAATGTACATGCAGGGTGCTCTCCACCCAGGAGGAGCCCTCGGGCAGGGGAGAGAGTGACTGAAGCTCTGCAGGCGACACCATCTGAGGCCGAAGGAGCCACGATGCGAAACAGCTTCTGAAAGTGAAGGGGAAAGTGGCCAAGCAGGACGCCTCTGACCAACAGGAAGACGGGAGTCATGACGGCAGGAGGAACGCACAGCTTCAGCGCAGACGACGGAGACACGAGGCTCTCGCTGACCTCGGCTCAGTCCTCAGGGCGAGTGCAGGCAGCAGCCAGCGAGTCAGGAGGGGCCGAGGCCGGAAGGACAGCTGGGGGACAATCAGGAAAGGTCACCGGGAGCCCAGACGGGCCACAGCGACCGAGGCCGAGACCGAGGTGGGAGGTCAGACGGTGGAGAGGCTGATGGGGAAGCTGGTTCATTTAACCTGGGGCTGGAGGAGGGCTCCGAGGAGGCCCTGGAGCTCGAGAAAGGCGAGTCAGCTTGAGCACGGCTGGGGCAGGTGACACACGGATGCTGCCCTACCTCAGACACCTCGTGAGGAGGCAGGGGCTTTGGAAAAGACAACGATGCTGGGAACAGAGGCAGCAGGAGAAGAGGAGCCCAAACAGGAGGTGGAAGGGCTCATGCAAGAGCCACAGGCTGCGCAGGGCGGTGAGCTGGACATTGGACGGCACCATTCACAGGTCCCCGGGCGTCCAACTCAGCGGCACATCGCACTCTCGGGGTGGGGTGGAGGGGCGGAGTGCTTTCCTGCATCAGTTTTAGCAGCTGTAACAGAAACCACATTGAGTGAAAGTCAATCTCGGCTCCTCCCTGAGGAAAGGACTTGAGTGGCTTGTCCTGTACTCAAGCTGAGTGCTTACAGTGTGGCTGTGTCTGGGGAGCAGATAAAACAAAGATGTTTGTTTTGCTAATAGCAGAACAGAATGATTCCTTTTATAAAATGTCAGCTTCATTGGGTGATAACTGAGGAATTGTAAGACTTAAAGTGTACATCATGGTGATTTGATACATGGATACCCTGTGAAGAGAAAGGTTAAAATTAAAGTCATTATTTGGCCCTAGTTGGAAAAATTAACGTAACCAAGGATGTGGTTGCTGTGTGCATGCGTGGCTATAT